CTGGCCGATGACGTCGCTTGCGCACGCTGTGCATACGCTCGCTTGCGTTTCTGTGTCTGCAAATGACGTAAAGGTACGATAAAACGGATCAAAACCAAACTAAATTTTCAGGGAAACGATCCTCGCTGAAATGAACTCCACAATTCGCGGAAACTATGAACTCCCTCACTACACTCATCTCGACTTTGTCTTTGGACTCAACGCCACCGTCGATCTCTATCAGCCAATCATAAAGGAGATTCGTGACGATTACAGCAGAATTCTCATGCTGCAGGATAATCGGGTTCATACTTAGCGCCATTTTTCCGCTTTCTTTTCTTTGCTCCTTGATGTGGGTGGAGCTTAACAAATCCACTAATTTTTACTCATCTATTGCCACAAATGGAAGGCCTATCCGCAGCATTTTAATAATTTCGATAAACATTTTTATGGCGTCGTTGCTGACGTCACCAAGGCGAGTATAAACTAGCAATAATAGTTTATTTGATTTGAGATTCACAAGGAGTCGAACAACGAACAAAAGCCAGAAATGACCAGATTCGTCGAGTTTCATAACCCATTTTCTGGAAAACGAGAGAGGGATATAAGAAATGAGAAAGCAATCATATCTGATGTCAGTTTCACCAAGATATTTCACCAGGTGGTAAGGGGTTTGGTAACCAAAATCACACTTGGGTAAATAGACATCTCACCTATACACCTAGAAATACACATATGTATGGCAAACTATTAATATTTGACAATATGAGACAGCTACATTGGTCAATTTGTCGATAAATCAATAAATCAATAAGCTAGCGATAGATTTACAACCTAAGAACTTTAAGTAAGAAGAGTTATTATAGCTGGGTTAGGGTTTTTGGCAATGCAGTACCTGTTCGAAGCCACTATGGCTGTTAGCGAAGTCAAGCTGTTCGGGATAGGACAACTGTCACAAAATTCTGTTGTCATAGATCACAATTTGGGCAACTGCCATAAGGAGTATGAACAGCATTTAGAAAAGCAAATTCTTTAGGGCTGATAGTGAGACCTTGAGGAAGAATCGTAGCGAAAGAAGTGTGAGTGACGTCATAGAGTCCAGATCACGTTTCAGAAGAAAAATTGACTAGTTTTTTAGGCGAAGATTTGAAAATAGCGTTCAATTTCCCGCATTTGCACGTTGTGGGCGGGGCGAATTGTTGGCCGAGGAACCGCGCCGCGGGGACGGCGTCGCCGTGCCAAGCTCTTTGAAGAAGCGGAAGCTGCAAACTTAGCCCTTAGTTAATGCGAATTTCAAATATTTAGAAGAAGCCTTTACTAGGACGGTTTAAAAAAACTTACAATCTCCGCACTCCACTATCTTTCCGTTCATACTTCCACGGGTACAACTTCTCGTCTGGTTCTCGAGGAAGCGGACCATAAACGAGCATTTCTTCACCGTCGTTCTTCGGCGGTTCATCACTAAAATATCGAAGATTTGCTCTAAGCTGCTGGCAAAAGAAAAACATCACCAAGATCAATTCTACAAAATTTTTTACTGGAAC